AGAATTCCCCAGCCAGCATTCGCTGGCTGGGGAATTCTGGGAGTTGAAGTCCGGACATCTTCAAGTTGCCAAGGTTGAGAAACACTGTCCTATAGAACCACGGCTATCTCTGTATATAGCTATCTACTATCACTGCACTTAAAAGGCAAAGGATCTTTATCAGCAAAAATATGCAGGGGATTCCCCCCTTTTCTCCTGCCTTTTTCTTCTGTGTGCTCTGTATTCTATTTTGATTTACCTCCTGATGTCCTGTATTCCTGACTTTCTTGTCTGATGCAAATATAAATGTTGAATATATCTATTTATATAAAACTACAAGTTCGTGTCGGTGTCTCCGATTTCATTTGGAACTTGCTGCACAATTCCCTGGCAGGATCTTTATCAGCAGAAATAGGGAAGGGAAGGATGGACAAATGAATCGGAATCAGCATAGAGCTGGAAGGGAACTTGGTGGTCTTCTAGTCCAGCCCACTGCTCGAGCAGGAGATCCTATACCATTTCAGACAAGTGGCTGTCCAGTCTCTTCTTAAACCCCTCTAGTGATGAAGCAGCCGTAACTTCAGAAGACTGAATGGAAGGTGGATGAATGGTGGTTTATTGCCTTATTATAACTAGGAATAGTTTATTGGCTGGGCCTAAAGGTATGGACTGGGGGTATGGGAAACTGGGAGTTGGAGTGTGTTAAGAGGTCAATGCAAAATATACACAACAACAATCACAAAAGGACTACGATAAAGTTAACACATTACTAACGTTTTTCCAAAGAAAAATTCAGTCCAGTATAAGCATTCTCTTGAAAGTTATCCTAGTGGTTTTTGGGCCTGTTAGATGTAAGGTCTCCAGAGCAGTTTAAAACACAAAAACTCATTAAAATAATACCAATCAAATTGCATGAAGGGTAGTCTCAGAAGTGCATTGACTGTTTAAATGAGCAATTTGCTAAGAATTGTTTACAAAGTTGTGTCTCCACTCGAATTGCTATTGTTTAGCGGCACACCTGAGCCTTTGTCTCTTTATCTAGATTATGCTAGATTGTAAAATATGGGCCTTGCTTCTTCACTCAGATAAGAAGATTATGTGTTGCTGAACTAAAGCCATTAAAAGAGATCATTTATATATTTACTATCTTTGTATACCTCTCCTCATTATTGCAAATACAGGCAGTGGTGGGATTCAGCCAGTTTGCACCTATTCGGGAGAACCGGTTATTAACTTTCTAAGCAATTCAGAGAACTACACGCACTACCGCTCGCATGAGCAAACCGGTAGTAAAATAAATTGAAACCTACCACTGATTCTGGTGTTGTTTCTAACCTAATCTTTATTGCTCTACTTGCACAACTGCCTCTCCGGTTAACCCTTATTACATTGTAACAGCTAAGGTGAAGCGCCCATTGATGTGAGTGACGTTGAGTTGACCACGCCCACCCAGTCACATGACCACCGAGCCACGCCTACCCAGCTGGTCATTAGGACAGAGAATTACTTTTACTGTTGCTAAATTACTTGAATCCCACCATTGAATACAGGTAATCCTTGACTTACAACCACAATTGAACTCAAAATTTCTGTTGCTTAGTGAGACATTTGTTAAGTGAGTTTTACCGCATTTTACGACCTTTCTTGCTGCATTTCTTAAGTGAATTGCTGCACTGATTCAGTTAGGAAGAAGGTTGTTAAATGAATCCGGCTTCCTCTTTGAGTTTGCTTGTCTAAAGGTTACAAGGGGGGGATCAGCTGACCCCAGGACACTGCAATCGTTATAAATATGAGCCAGTTACCAAGCGCCTGAATTTTGATCACATCGCCATGGGGATGCTGCAATGGTCGTAAGCATGAAAAGCAGTCATAAGTCACTTTTTTGAGTGCTGTCGTAATTTCAAACCATCATTACATGAACTGTTGCAAGTCCGGGATTACCTGTACATACATAGATAAATACATAAATACATAAATACATACATACATACATACATACATACATACATACATACATACATACATACATACATACA